TACAATTTTTACGGCAATTAGATGCTATGCCGTAATTAATTCTACCACTGGTAAAATGCCGTAATTGCCGTAATTCAATAATTCTACTACCAACTATAGCTGCGGCCAAGTTTTGTTTTGAACTTTTAAACGAAGATTTTTCAATAATTGCCTATTTAAATTTGACAAATTTTTTTATTTTAATTCTAAAGATTCATAGAATTAAAATATTTTTTTTTCAAATTTGTACTTGTAGTTGTTGAGAAATCTTCATTTAAAGGTTTAAAAAAGATCATTTTTCACGATTTTGGCTTATTTTTCTGATATTTGAGTTTTTTTTTCACTTTTATTGATAGTTTCTCAATGACCGTTAAACAACATCCAATAAATCTTTTTTTATTTTGATTTTACAAAAATGCAGAATTAAAATAAAAAATTTCTTACTAAATTTAATCAAGTAGTTATTGAGAAACCTTCACTAGAAGTTTTTAAAAAAATTAAAAATTTTTATAATAACCAATCACAATCAAGGATTCGAAGGTTCTAGATTGCAGATCAGTGAAAATCTGTCGGTGCGGGTAGTTATCTGTTAAAACCTGCAATAGACCCAGGGTAAAGTTAGTTATGATATATATTCACTGGCTCTCTCAATGGAACTTGTATTATTCGAGATGTTGTTCAATTATAACGATTTTGCCAAACATTCATGGGTTCTAACCATGAAAAAAGATGGATTGCTTCTTTTTGTTTTTTTTCCATCGAAATTTATCCATTTGAGTGCTTATAAGGAATAAATAGACACGTGAAAATGCAGTATGGCAATATAGTTGATCAACCATCAAATCAGCTTGCTCTATTTTAGCCTATCTCCCAAAATAGACTAGGAATCAGAGAAATACTGAAATACGAGCAATTTTAACTTTTATATAGTTTTAATAATTTTGCGTATATTTTTACCTTTTTCAATCGGAAATAATGGATACTCATTTTCGGGATGATCTTTATCGAGATATTTCTCATCTTTTTGAGGATGCTGATGATTATAATGTTATTATTCAAGTTGGTGCAGAAACGGATTCTAAAGAATTTAAAGCTCATTCTGTTATCTTGCGTGCTAGATGCTCTTATTTTAAAACTGCTTTATCTGATCAATGGGTGAAAAAGATTGAAAATATCTATTATTTTCAAAACCCGAATATCTCACCAACCGTATTTTTTTTAATTCTACGGTATATGATTGTGATTATATTTGAATTCCTTCTTATATTTATTCAATATCTTACCCCATATTTTAAATAATTTAAAGGTATATTTATACAGGAATACTTGACTTAACAGATCAATCTGGGTTTAATATTTTAGCTCTTCTTGTAGCTGCTGATGAATTATTACTTGAACAAATAATTAATCATGTACAAGAACATGTAAGATTATTAAATGCATTATTTTTTACAATTTACAACTTATCAAATAATTAAATTAAATGTTATAATGTAGCTCATTTGTAAAGAATCCACTTGGCTTAAAGAAAATTTTGCTGTGGTTCTATATACCGTCTCAAAACTTCAAAATTGTAAAAAAATTCAAAATTACATTATGAAAACTATTGATCTACCAATAAATTCAAAATCAGGTATTCATGATCTTCTTGAAATTGCGAATGAATTGGCTCTTACTCAATTAATTGATCGCATTCAAGAGCTTGTAAATATATTAAAAATGCACAGTAAAACCTTTATAAGTGCACGCACTTGTGACAAAGCTTTAACAACGTGATTTAGAGATCAATAAGAGAAAGTGCATTTATAGAAGGCATGTATATTTGGGGCCAGAACTTGAGCATGCATTTAAAGAGGGTGCACTTATAGAGGTTTACTGTATAAATTTAATTTAATTTAAAATATTTTATTATTACTATCATATTTATAAAATATTTGTTTAGCTTATTAAAAACAAACCATCTTGGCTTAAAAAAGATTTAATTGGATTTCTTTGCAGTATCTTTAACGACAAAAGATATAAAAAAATTCAAGATTTTATTATGGATACTATTTGTATAGATCCTGAGCCATCATTATTTGAATTAAAGAATTTCCCGACTTTAGAAAGAGATATTGTTCTGAAATTTATTAAAAGAGACGATCTAGCTATTGAAGAAGTTGACGTTTGGAAATATTTGGTTAAATGGGCAGTGACTCAATTTAATTCATTATCTGAGGAAACATCTATCAATGCAGACGTTAATAATTGGGGAGATAATGAATACACATTATTTAAAAATAATATGAAACCATTTGTATCTTATATTCGATTTTGTGAAATGACACGAGATGAATTTTATTACCATGTCATGCCTTACGAAAAAGCATTACCAGAAAATCTTTATAAAAGTTTAATAGCTTATTTCATGGCTAATTTAAAACCACAAGATATTATGTTGCAACCACGTAATGGATTAATTAGTATCGACTCTGATATCATTAAAAGGAAGAATGCTAGAATCATTATCAAGTGGAACGAAGGGATAAACGTCTTTACTGAAAAACCCCCTTACAAGTTTACACGTATTTACCGAGCAACCCGTTATGATTTTGATTTTGAAAAATTTATTGAACTGTTTAGATCGTTGCCAAGTAGTCCGTTGTCAAATGTATTGTTGCTAATTAAGGTTAAAGATTCAGATAAAACAATTGGTGCACATATGAGTTCTAAGAAGAGGTGAGTTTGTTTTATATATGTGGTTGTACGTCAATTTAAATATTGTTATTTTAATCCGATGCAAAAAATTTTAATTTTTGACGTACAATATATACATCTACATCAAATTTAAATTATATTATGCTACTAACTTATTCCTAATAAATTTAAATTTATAGTTTTTTCCTTTGTTTTGGAAGTGAAAAAGAATCCAATTTTTATATACCTTTTAATGGTACACTGTATCGGCTATAGTAAAGCATCCGGTGTACATGTTATTTGAAAAATCTGCCGATGGTTATCATCGACCAATTTAGAAAATTT